GACGGGCGCGGCGGCCAATGGGGTGTTCCCCACGCGTGATGGACGGGCGCGGCGGCCAATGGCGGGGCTGCGGGGCGGGGTCTGACGGTGCTCCCCACAGACCCCTTTGCGGATGCAAGTAAGGGTGATGACCTGCTCCCGGCCGGCACTGAGGACTACATCCATATAAGGATCCAGCAGCGCAACGGCAGGAAGACCCTCACCACAGTCCAGGGCATCGCGGATGACTACGATAAAAAGAAACTGGTGAAAGCCTTCAAGAAGGTGGGGCTTCGGGACTGGGCGGGTGCAGCGGCCACGCCCGGCAGAAATGTTTATATGGTGCTAAAGAATGTCTTTGTGTCTCTGCTGCAGAAATTTGCCTGCAATGGTACTGTAATTGAGCACCCCGAGTATGGAGAAGTGATTCAGTTGCAGGGTGACCAGCGCAAGAACATCTGCCAGTTCCTCGTGGAGGTAGGGCACACTGGGCCTGCTGCCTGCTAAAATAAACATGAGTTTGTTAAATACACACAGTTCTGTGGGCATGGGCAGTTTATGGATGCTCAGGGCCATCGCTCCATGTCGTGAATGCGTTTTCTGTCTTGCAGATTGGACTGGCTAAAGACGACCAGCTGAAAGTCCACGGGTTTTAAGTGCCTGTGGGCCACTGGAGCTTTATGCAAGAAGATTTCCTTACCATGAAATTCCCACCTGTCCCTTGTCATAACTTTAAAACCAGCCGGTTTGTGTAATGTAACGATCTTGCGTCCACTGTTGAGTCTGGACTGTTGTAATTGGTGATGTAATAAACTGACACGAGCCCATGCTATCTCGTCTGGCTGTCCCTCATTTCCCAGAGGTMACACGGGCGGTGGCACCATCCAGCCTGAAGCCAAAAGTTCCAGCTGTTCCCAGTTAAGCCCAGGGATTCAGCCTTTCCTGATGGCTCCTCAGTCCAGCTGCACTTCCATCCTGACAGAGGGATTTGTGTCCTGCCTGGTGCCATGGCACAGGGAGGTGGCACCRTCCCTCTGGGCAGAGGGATCTGGGGAAGCCTGGCTTGGAAGGAGTGACAGAAGAGTGACCTGGAGGCCGGATGGCTGCAGTTTGAGTGCTGCGAGCCCCGAGGTACCAGGGACATGAAGGAACTGTCCCGTGGGTTAAATTTGTGACAAGGGATCAATGTTGGACTAATGTAAAGAGCGTTCCTGTAGCTGGAATTGCAGAGCCTTGTGTCAGTAGCGCTGCTGCCTCCCACCCTGTGCAGTAACACGGCTTTGGTTTCATTTCTAATGGTTTATTGTATTTAAAGTTTTATTTAAATAAAACCGGTTTTCAAAAGCCTGTGTGTGGTGGGTTCCGTCGCTTCCAGGAGCCAAAGCACCTTCTCTTGCCAGCAATGTCAGGAGCCTGGGGGGATTCCCTGCCCTTGGGGTGTGGGGGTTGTTCCCCTGTTCTCTCCCTGCAGAAAGAGGAAGCTGAGTTCCCTTGGTGCTGTCTGTGCTGCTCCTGCCTGGAGGTGAGGGAAAGCCGAGGAGTGGGTGGGTGCTGAGTCATTCCCTGCCTTGCTCTGTAACCCTCGAACCCGGCTTGGTGCTGGTTGTGTTCCTGGAAGTGCCGTGGGCAGGGTCAGCGCTGCTGCTTCCCGAAAACAGCTCTGGGGAGGAGGGGGAGGCTCTGCCACCCGGGCCAGGCTCTGCCTGCTCAGGGGCAGAGCAGCCTCTTCATTTTTCGAGCTCAAGCTCAACAAGCAAGAACCAAAACTCAGTAAAATGCACTGGTTGAGGACAGTTGTGGTTGTGGGGGCCGCCAGGTGCCTGCTGCACAAGAGCAATGTAAATGCTCTGAAATGGTGCATAGAAAACGCCTGGGTTTCCCTCCCCATTGCCCCTGGGGTGTCCTGGGAGGCTGCTCCCACCCTGGTCACTTGCTTGTGCCCCTGGCACCACCCAGAGCAGGTCACAGCTGCTCATCCACTGCCACAGTGACCCCCATCTTCCCCATGCTGCTCGGGGGTGCTGAGTTCACTCTGGCACTTTCCTGGGAGACTTTGCTCTAGGAAACCGAATTGCTGCAATTATGCAAAGCAGCTTTTAGTACACTGAGGAGGCAGGTGACCTGCCGACCTGCTTGTACCTGGAAATGGCCTCCATACCTGCCCGTACCCCAGAGTGACCTCCAGCCCTGCTCGTACCTGGAAATGACCTCCATCCCTGCCTGTATCCCAGAGTGACCTGCAGCCGTACCTGTACTTCAGAGTGACCTCCAGCCCTGTCTGTACTCACGGAGCAGGTTGTGGCAGACAGGTGACCAGCCCTGCACATTGAGAGCAGGTGCTGGCAGCACCACAGTCCGTACTCACACCAGAATGTGTGTTTGTGCCCACGAACTGACACAGCCCAATCTCTGCTCTGCTGCTGCTGCACCAAAATTTCCCATGTCCCCTCTGTGTCAGAGCAGGTCCAGCCCAGATTTCTCCCTGCTGGCTTTGCCAGGCTGCCCACTGATTTAGCCACTGCCAGGCAGGGGCAAGAGGTGYTTTGTCCATCCTCCAGCTCAGCCTTTGTCCACCCAGTCTGGTGGCGAACCTGCGTCAAGGTGATGCTGAGCCCGTGGCCCTGGAGAGAGTGGCCGCCGTGTCCCCATCACCCTGACGGCTCATTTAGTCCAGATTGAGCCATTAAAAGCCAGAAATTGGAAAACAATTTGTTTGTTCCTTGTGCAACGTACTCGGTGGAGCGAGCGATCGATGGCCACGGGGTGCTGGGTGCTGCTGCTTTGCAGCCATCCAAAGCCCATTTGTTTTGGGGGTGTTTGAGGAGCAGCGACACAGCTCGTTGGGAACACGGGGGACACAGGACAGTGACGTGTCCCAGCCCAGGATGGCATTSAGAGTTTATTGAAGGAGGGAGACAAATGGTCTGTACAAATACATTGATGGGGGTCAATATGGACAGAAGGAACCATCAATATCGAATGAGGGGGTGATGGTGACAGATGAGGATCTTCAGGGGGCTCCCACAGTGAGTGGGGCTCACTCCTTCCATGACACCCCAAAGCTTTTCGGGGTGCAGGGAGAGATCCAGAGCTGCAGGATGAGCTGCTCCAGGGCCTGTGGGGGAGGAGGTCTCAGACACACACAGACAAACCCCCTGCCCCTCCAGGTCTGTGCAGCCCCCAAAACCGGGAGCACAGAGCCCTTGGGACCCCTGGCACAACACACGTGTATAGATGTGTGTATACACCTGTAAGTGTGTGGGTACATACATGTGTGTGTGTGTGTGTGTGTGTGTGCAGGCACACAGATACATATGTGCACATGTAAGTATAACATGTATGTATAGTATACACATGTACATATACATACTTGCGTATACACGTGCACACATGTGTATTTATACAGATGCGTGTGAATGTATCTATATTTATAGACATAGATATGTATGTGTATGTATATAYGTAGAAGTGTGTAGATATTTAAATATATGTGTAAAATTATAAATATACGTGTAAAAATGTAAATATATATACACATACAGATTCCCAGAATYRTTTAGATGGGGAARGACCTCCAAAAATTGAGTCCAACRTGTGTGTATATATAWAYAYAWASRTATAKGTRTRTGTRTRYRTATRYATRTATATRKRTRTRTATAKATRKRTRYAYATATRTATRTATWTAYWYACAYRYATATAYMTRYMTRYATASAYAKRYAYRTACAKACAKAYRTATRTATATRTATWTRT